TTAAAAAATACATATTTTTTTATTGATTTCAGGGAGGAAGGGAGAAGGAGACAGAAACAAAAGCATCAATGATGAAAGAGACACATTGATTGGTTGCCTCCCACATGTTCCTGGGAATCAAGCCTTCAACTAAGGTACGTGCTCTTGACTGGAATCAAACCTGGGACTTTTCAGTCCTCGGCCGATGCTCTATCTATTGAGCCAAACCAGCTAGGGCAGTAACTAGCTCTTAATGAAAATGGTAGTAAAGATAACAATCCTCATCATATAATAAAATAGCAACAGCAGTTAACATCTGACTGCTACTACCTAAAATAGGCCAAGTACGAAGTTAGGTACTTTCCATATTAACTCAGTTAAACTCCCAATAAACCTATAAGGTAGGTACCATTATTACAACCAACTGGCAATGAGCAAACTGAGATCTGAAGAGGTTAAGTATGAGCTCCAAGTCACACAACCTGGAATCTAATTGGGAGGCAGTCTGACTTCAGAACCTATAGGCCCAACCACTATGGTTTACTATTGTAGGAGGCGGGTTGGCCCCAGGTACCAAAGCTGTAAGTAACTCCAATGATCAGTTTGTCATATGGTAGTTATTGACTGATTATTTGCAATGTGGAGACATATATTAGATATTCAATCTACTTTTATTATTGTATAATCAAAAGCTGAAAATGTTTTTCTCCTTTTTTAAAAAAATATGTTTTATTGACTTTTTACAGAGAGAAAGGGAGAGGGATAGAGAGTTAGAAACATCGATACAGAGAAACATCGATCAGCCGCCTCCTGCACACCTCCCACTGGGGATGTGTCCGCAACCAAGGTACGTGCCCCTGACTGGAATCGAACCTGGGCCCCTTCAGTCCGCAGGCCAACGCTCTAGCCACTGAGCCAAATGGGTCAGGGCGGTTTTTCTCCTTTCATGGAGAAGAAAAGAGTAAGAAGTGAATATTAAGACAAATTATTATTTTTTAATATATATATATATATTTTTATTGATTTTGGAGAGGAAGGGAGAGGGGAATAGAGATAGAAACATCAATGATGAGAGGGAATCATTAATCGGCTGCCTCCTGCATGCCCTCTATTGGGAATCGAGCCCACAATCCTTGTGCCCTTGACTGGAATCGACCCCGGGACCCTTCAGTCCATGGGTCAACACTCTATCCACTGAGCCAAACCAGCTAGGGCTTAAGACAAATTATTAATGAAACACAGAGAGTGGGTATATAAGAAAAGGAACAGCAGTGTAGAAAGAGGACTGAAGTGAGAGGTAAGAATCTGGGATTTAGCCCGACCAGCATCCACCTATGAACCAGGAGGTCATGGTTCAATTCCCCGTCAGGGCACATACCTGGGTATGGGCTTGATCCCCAGTGGGGGGCATGCAGGAAGCAGCCAATTAATGATTCTCTCTCATCACTGATGTTTCTATCTCTCTCTCCCTCTTCCTTCCTCTTTGAAATAAAATAATATATTTAAAAAAAAAGAATCTGGATTTAGTTCCAGCTCTGCTATTCACTGTTGATCACAGGCAAGTGAAGACCACCTCTGAGACTTAGTTTCCTTATCTATAGAATGAAGGAATCTGTCTCCAATGGTCCTTTCCTGATCTTTTATACTCTACTAGAGGCCTGTTGCACGAAAAGGTTCGTGCAATAGGCCTTCTCTTCCCCTGGCTGCCGGCACCGGTTTTCCTCCGGCACCCGGGACCCAGGCCTTCGCTCCAGCCAGAGCTGCCTTCAGTCTTCGCTCCGCCACTTCGTACCTATGTATGCAAATTAACCGCCATCTTTGTTGGCGGCTAATTTGCATATATAGCTGATTAGCCTACGGGAGGCGTAGCAACGGTACAGTCAATTGCCATGTTTGTCTATTATTAGATAGGATTAACATTCTGGTTTTTTGTTTTTGTTTTTAAATATATTTTATTGATTTTTTACAGAGAGGAAGGGAGAGGAATAGAGAGTTAGAAACATCGATGATAGAGATCAATTAGCTGCCTCCTGCACGCCCCCCACTGGGGATGTGCCCGCAACCAAGATACATGCCCTTGACCGGATCTATCCACTGAGCCAAACCGGTTCGGCAACATTCTGGTTTATGACAGCATTTTTTATTTACTTATTTCTATTTTTAAAATCTTTATTGTTGAAAGTATAACATATGCCCCTCTTTTCCCCTCATTGATCCCTTCTAGCCCACCCCAGGTGCCCAAGACCTTTACCACCCTACTGTCTGATTCCATGGGTTATGCATATATCTATATAAGTTCTTTGATCTCTCCCCCACCCACACCCCCACCTTCCCTCTGATATTTGACAGTCTGTTCCATATTTCTATGTCTCTGGATCTATTTTGTTCATCACTTTATTTATGACAGCAGTTTAAATGAAACATGCTATAAAAATCCAAAATACTGCAACCAGCCAATTGTTTGTAACATTATTTAGATTATCACCTTTGCCTTAGCCATACCTATAATTGTCAGAATGAATACAGTGCTCCTTTTAAAATTTTGCTCCAAAAGAACAATGTCAAAAACTACTGAAGGTGCCCTAGCTGGTCTTGCTCAAGGATAGGGCATCAGACTTTGGACTGAAGGGTCCTGGGTTCCATTTTGGTCAAGGGCACATGCTCAGGTTGCAGGCTCGATCCCAAGTAAGGAGCACGCAAGAGGCAGCCAATCAATGATTCTCTGTCATCATTGATGTTTCTATATCTTTCCCTCTCCTTCCCTCTCTGAAATCAATAAAAAAAATATTTAAAACAACAAACAAAACTACTGAAGGCAAATGTAAGATCATGATAAATGAATCATATTACCTAAAATTTAACAATTAAAATAAGCCTATTTTATCTTTTTGTTCCCCTTCATTCCTTCTCAAATAAAGACTGAGCTCACTGCCAAACCAGTTTGGCTCAATGGATAGAGCGTCGGCCTGCGGCTGAAGGGTCCAGGTTCGATTCCGGTCAAGGGCATGTACCTTGGTTGCGGGCACATCCCCAGTGGGGGGCGTGCAGGAGGCAGATAAATGATCTCTCTCATCGATGTTTCTAACTCTCTATTCCTCTCCCTTCTTCTCTGTAAAAACTCAATAAAATATATTTTAAAAAAAAAGACTGAGCTCGCCATAACTTTACAAACTTGTTCAGTTATAAAGTTTATCTTAAGTTTGTAAGTAATATAAATGAAATAAATAATCTAATGGATGGAAAATAATGTAAGAAAAGACAGACATAAAAGCAACCAACCTTTCTTGCCCCCTTTTCCACTGACCTTTTCACCACATCCTTGTATCCTGGGGCCTGCCTTTGACACTCTCT